TTTTCCTGGGCTCCAAGATCACTACAGATGGGGACTGCATCCAAGAAATTAAAAGACTCTTGCTCCTGGGGAGGAAAGCTATGGCAAATTTAGACAGCATACTAAAAAGCAGAACAATCACCCTGTCAACAAAAGTGTGTATAGTCAAGGCTATGGTTTTCCAAGTTGCAATGTATGGCTGTGAAGTTTGGACCATAAGAAAGGCTGAACGACAGAGAATTGACACCTTTGAACTCTGGTGCTGGAGAAGACTCCTGCGAGCTCCTTGGACTGCAAGGTGATCAAATTGGTCAGTCCTAGAGGAGATCAACTCTGACTGCTCTTTAAAAGGCCAGATCCTGAAGATGAAACTCAAATACTTTGGCCACTTAATGAGAAGGAAGGACTCACTGGAGAAGAGTCTAATGCTGGGAAAGATGGAGGGCAAAAGAAGAAGGGGATGACAGAGAATTTTACTGATCAGGATGAGTAGTTTATATAATTTGATTATTGATAAGGGATGACATATGGAAATAAGAGTTTCTATTTATTTAAGTACTAGAGAAGGCATCAATTTAGCCAAATTGCTTATATTTGTCTAGAAAGAGCAGAAGTCACCTCTTATAGATTTTTTCTCATTTCTGTTTTCCTTTCCTTTTTCCCCACATTTCATCTTTTTAAAATATTTTTCTTAAGTTTGCATTTGTCTTTTTACCTTTGTATTTGTAAACTTTAATAAAAACATTTTTTAAAAGCCTAACAGACATGACACATCTGTTAATTCCTTATTTTGGGGATAAAAGAGAGATTAAGAACTCACCAGTGCCATCTTCACAGAGACTGGAAGTCAAACCATCTCTTACTGAAACCTGTAGGAGAGATATGCCTATGAACCATCTTTTCTTGTGGAGTTATCCAGAAAACTAGAATTTACCATGTGTGGTAAGCATAAAAGTAGCAAAGCAGGCAAAGTTGTTGGGAAAAGCACAAAGCAGATTGTGATTAAATGCAAAAACATAGCATTACTGCCACATCAAATCTTAAATTGCCACAAACCAGCAGTCCCTACTATTGTGCATTACATAAACTATTATACCATGCCTGGAAGTTTCTGAGGACTACAAGCTAGCAATTGGCAATGTGAAAAACAAAACACTGCCAGATAGTTTCCACATTATCCAAATTTTAATGTTTTAATTTGTATTTTAATGTAACATTTACTTTTTTTCTGCATAAGATCACCAAATCACAACCTGAAATCTTGTAAGATTTGGATGACAAAGCCAAAGCCTCTTACATTTGGTAAGTTTTTTTGGGCACTAGTACTAGAGAAAAATAATGTCCTTGAAGCCTTGGATCACACTGGGAACAAATGCTTCATAGTTTGAGATTCTATTTGTAATTATTTGCATTTGGCTAACAAGTCCAATCCTCCAGCTCCAAGATCCGTCTGTCTATCAAATTTATATGCTTAAGTGTTTAGCTCCTACTATCAAGATTTTGCAGCTCAAGTGGTTGAAAATTGTTTGATCAAGTCAGATTCTATGTAACTAATGAACATTTCAAAATGAAGTAGATCCAATACAGATACTATACGACTATTTTCTTTGAGTAAAATTCAAGTTCATTTTTACATCCATGTTTAATTAATATATATTTTTTAGTATGGAAATGATTTGCCACTGGAACTTTCTGAAAATTTTTTCCAACCTTAATATTAATAGGAGATTTCCTTTTCAAGCACTGGCCAGGCTCAACTCTGTTTAGCTCCAAAGGCCAGACAAAAGAGATCACTCCCCAACCTTCTGGTCTTGGCAGCCAACCAGGGGAGAGGAGTGGTACTGTATGAGAGGCAGATGTGTGCAGCTCCATTTGCTGCTGCAGCAGGTGCACACGACTGCTGCTCATCCAAATGCAGCTTTGCACATGAGTGTAAGCACCTGCTGCTCGCATAAGTGGAACTCCATATGTGTTTGTTTGCCACTCACATGGCCAAGTTCTGAACATGGGCTGGGGCCCAGTTTTGGGCCCCAGCCCGGGGGTTAGAGACCTCTGCTTTATAGCACTCTCTAAGTGGTTTACAGAGTTATCATATTGCCCCCAACAATCTGGGTCCTCATTTTACTGACCTTGGAAGGATAGAAGGCCAAGTCAACTTTGAGCCGGACAAGACCGAACAACTGGCAGTGAACTGAATTAGCCTACAATACTGCGTTCTAACCATTGCACAACCATGCCATGTAGCTTTTGAACACGCAGTCTTCAGAAATCAAGAGAAGCATCTGGGGTGATACTATCTTTCTATGCACCTTTGTTTCTCCATGTAAGTAGTATATAGATAGTTTTTGACTTACAACTGGTCACTTAGCAACTGTTTGAATTTACAATAGATACCCCTCTCTCCGAAGGTATGTAAAGACTCTGTTCCAAAGTTCCAAACCCCCCCATCACATGACTTATTTTGGGTGCCCATCAACTAGCCTGCATTTACATCTGTTTGCAATATCCTGTGGTCATGTGAATTTTGTTGAAATACTTTTGGGTTTTGACAAAAATGCCTCGTAATGCATAATGATGGCCATAAGAAAAGGTTGTATAATTAGGTTGGTCATGTGGGTGACCGGCTTTATAACCATCACGACTTATGACTGCAATGGGCAGGCTCTATTAGAATACTAAGTCCAGGATTACCTGCAATCTCCCACATTTTTTTTCCTCAACCCTGATTGATTATCTTTTAACATCTTGCTACTTGCATTACAGTTTTTAATTTGCATGTCAATGCTTATTCTTTCCACATTTGAGAACCCTGTACCGTATCAGGAAGAAACACCAGTTTATCTTCACTTAATAAAAGTAGAACTCAGTATTTTATCTACAGGAGAGGTTCTATCTGGAATTTCAGAGGACTGATCAATATGTACACACATGCACAGAGTATATGTTTCTATGTGTGTATACACATGTGCACATCATGCTTGAGTATAGGGCAATCATAAAACAAGTTGTGCCATATTCTGAGTAATAGGATGTCTCCGTGCCCCCCCCAATATTCACCCTGTTAAATCAAATGCACCTTAAGACTGCTCAATTAAGGAATTAATATACCATAATAACCTTAACTGCAGCTTCCTTCTAATTTACAGTGAAAGCCCCATTGTGAGCAATTAAACTGCAAATTAACAAGAAGCCAAGTAAGCTGGGCTAACATTCTGTGCTTGGGGGTCTGATCTGGAGAAACAGATGATCCCAGGCATTTCACAGCACATTCAACAGCACTCTCAGTGAAAGACACTCAGGTTTTAAGCCCTCACGTGATATGAAGCAGTGCTTTTGGCATGCAATTAACATGCTGGTAGGTTTATTAAATATTCTTGCACGCATTCTTCCTATACCTAGAAAAGCTGTAAAAACTTTCCCCACCTCTCATTTCCACATTTCCTGCATGAAATTCTCATGCATATCAAGCAAGTGCTTAACTGGGGAAAGCCACAAAAAAGCCTATAAAAATCATAAGTTATTATTCACTCTTTCAAATCAGCAGGAAGAGGCCTTTTACTGAACGCATCCATTCAGCTGTAGGAAAAGAACAAATAAGGGAAATTACTTCTTTAATCGATGGTTGCTTTAAAATGAGCTGACCTTCTGTTGGGGAAGCAACTCCCAACAAACCAAGAGGTTACTAGGATAGGATTAAGATCAGTTTGCCTGACAATGTAGAGAAAAAGTTCTATGTAAGGAATAAAAATGTGCCAATAGCTTTCAGGAAATAAGGGTATGGGTTCTGCACAGGAATTTTTTTTATTGGGCATCTCACACTACGCTACACATTATTTCATGTTCAATGACTCTATTAATCTATGCTTGGAAACAAAAAGCTACTAAAATGTATCCTGGATATTATAATAACATATAAAAAGGCCCACTCTTATTCAGTCTAAGACAGTGTTTCTCAATTTCAGTGATTTTAACATGGACTTCAAATCCCAGAATTCCTTAGCCAGTATGTTGGCTAGGAAATTCTGGGGATTGAAGTCCACACTTGAAGTCCACAATCTCACTTGTAAAGATTTCTGAGATTGAGAAACACTGGTTTTATGCGAATAAGGTAAAATAAAATCTATACATTTTGTTAATCATACATGGTATACATTTTAGATTGAAATGTTTCCACAATCTTATAACCAGAACATGTATTCACCAATTTTCATCAGTACATACAATCCCATTTTAAACATTCACAGGAGTTCCATATCTGGGTTGTTTTAATTTTTAGCACCATGGCAATCCTCTTACCTTTTCTTCAATGTGCTGGGGAAATAAATTGTCAGAACATGGTGGCAAATTCTCCTTCTGCTCATAATTGTAGTCTTTGTCTTCATTTTCATTAGTTTGAGTCTCATTCTAAAAAAACCCAAACACTTGAGTTAGAATAAATATTGGTCTTTAGATTAATTGAATGTGGGTTGAGTACCGTATTTTTCAGAGTATAAGATGCACCAAGATTTTGAAGAGGCAAATTAAAAAAAAGTTTTTGCACTCTGCAGACCTCCCAAAAATGACCTGTTTTTCACAAAAATGAGCCTGGGTTTTGTTTGTTTTTTGTTTTTAAAAAGGGCATGTATAGCCTTTAGAAGGCTTATAGAGTGCTTGGGGAGGGGAATTGAGCAAAAAATGGC